GATAGATAGATAGATAGATAGATAGATAGATAGATAGATAGATAGATGATAGATAGATAGATAGATGATAGATAGATAGATAGATAGATAGATAGATAGATGATAGATAGATTAGATCGATCGATCTGATGATAGATAGATGATAGATGATAGGAGGACCTGGGGGATAACTGTCGGTTTCTACTTTGGAGAATGGAAGAAAAGGTCGATGGCCTAAAAAAAAGTGTGTGGGGGGTGTAGGTGGCATGGGAAAGGAACCTTTAAGAAAATCCCAGTGCTCTGAAAAGAGGAAAGGCTTTGCTTCGGGGCACTACTCTTTAGGGACCACCCACCCTCCACCCTCCACCCCCTAGGCCTTTGTCTTTTCTAAAAATCCACTGCTTTGTGAAGAAGCTTCAGGGGACAGTATTGGATCTTTTAAAGTTTTATTTGAAAAACATCAAAGCCTTAACGGGAAAATAAAATACCTTTACCTCCAGGTTCCCCAGGCCTGGATTTTTAAGGTCAGCACAGTCACCTCCCCTCTGAGCAAAGGACAGCCTCTTAAGCAGCCAGAACTGCCTGCCGGCCTGGGAGATTTCCATTTTCCTCCTGCCGCAGGCAGTCAGTTCTTATGGGGTTGGCTTTTTGAGATGGTAATTTCTGGAAGTGGGTATTCCCTGTCCCTGGGTCCTATCTTTGGGCTACAAAATTCCCTTTCCCACCTTCCCAGTTCTACCCTCCTGTTGCATGGGATCAAACCTGAGCTGAAAGCATCTGTTTCTTGCTTGAAGAAGTAGATGCACTTGTCCTGGGCATGTCATTTCAATGAATACTCCTCTCCAGGATGGAGACAGGGCCAGAAAAGTGCAGGAACTTACCCCCCGCCCCCCCCACAGGGCTTCCGAAAGCCAGGCTGCAAAGGGAATAATCACCTGGTAGGATGAAGCTCTGAATCAGGGTCCCTCCACCAGCAGGTCACTGTGCATCCCTTAATAAGGCTACCACCTTTTAACAGACAATCGGATGGGGACTTCCGAGACTTAGCTTCCTGGAGAGCAAGGAAAGGGGGTGCAACCCTCTGACCTAGATGGCCTTGAAGTTCCCCTCAGCTTGACTCTAAACTTCAGACAGGTTTCTTCCTGACTGTAGGTCCCTGACCTCCCTTTTCTTAGAGCCCTTCCTTTAGAAAACTTGCACTTGTGAATTTCTTTCTCTGCTGCCTTGAATTGTAAATCACCTCCCAGGTTCTCACCACCCAGGAATGTTCTGCTTCAGGACCTGGGAGCCATCCCTTGGAAATATAATTATCACGGAAGATAGCCCCCCAATCTCTCCATCTCTCTGAAAGGGGAGGAGTCTAACTCCACTAAGTGTTAAGTAGCAAACATAAATGGTCTAATCACCAACTCCCCCCCCCACACCCCTTCCCATTTCCAGTGTTCTCCATTACTTTCCCAGTAGCCCACCTTGGGGGCTTAAAAACCCTACTGCCTCTTAGGGTCCTGGGTGGCTTAGTCCATTAAGCATCTGGCTCTTGATCTCAGGGTCTTGGGTTCAAGCCCCACGTTGGGCTCCTGGCTGGGCATGGAGCTTACTTAAAAAACAAAACCAACAACAACAAAAAAACACCCTCCTGCCTCTTATGTCAGAGGAGTTGAATTCAGTCTCTCTCCCCTTGGGTTTAACTACAACAAGTGAAATTTGTCTTTGACACCTCCTCTACTCTCACGTAGGCAGAAGGCTCTCCTCAACACAGTTCCTGAGACCTCTTTTGACACAGGAAGAGAAAATACAAGTTAGAAAAATATGAGTCCTGTCCCTGTCTGTTGTTAATTTGTCTCCTTGAACATATCATCTCACCTTATTGGGCCTCAGGCAGCTAATAAGGTAATGAACATGAAGCGCTTTGTCAAGTTACCTACAGAAATGCTACTTTGTTACGACTAATAGTATATCTGCCCAGCCCACTCTCTGGAAATAGGAACCACAGCATCTGGCTGGTTTTCCCTTCCACCAGGTTTGTTCTTTAAGAGTCCTGTTCCAAAATGCAAAGGCCAGCGCCCTTTGCTGCTAACACTCTCAGACGTTTAATACCTAAGCAGCTATTAAAAGGCAGATACGTGGCTGAGAGGAGGAATAAGACGTGAGTTGAGAAGTCAAGGAAGAAAGAAAACAAAGAAAAATTTTCCACAAACTTATATACACTAGCAGCTACTTACTACTGGGATAGATCACCTGGATGAAGTTTTGATGTTTCTAATTTTGGGCATTGATTCAGGATAATTATTGAATGAATGATGTTGCTTCATGTTGCTAAGGTCATGTGTAGCATCGGGAACTTGGCTGCTAAAAACAGACAACTCAAAAAATGATCACTTGAAGAAGGCATTTATTTTCTCGTACATAACCGACATTCAGTTGAGGGTTGGTATGATGTCTTTATGATATCATCAAAAACTTAGACTCCTGGAGCGCCTGGGTGACTCAGTCAGTTAAGCAACCGACTCTTGGTTTTGGCTCAGGTCATGATCAGGTCTTGAAATCAAGCCCTGCGTTGGACTCTGTGCTCAGTGTGGAGTCTGCTTAAGATTCTCTCCCTCTCCCTGGGCCTGTCCCCTCACTCACACTCTCTTTCTCTCTCAAATAAATAAATAAATAAATAAAATCTTAAAAAAAAAAAGAAAGAAAGAAAAACTTGGACTCCTTTCTATTCAGCCATCCTTAACATGATTGCCTCCTGGCAACAAGATGGCTGCTGGAGTACTAGCCATCCATCTACATCTGGGACAAGACAAGGATAGGAGCAAATGGCAAAAGGACATGTGCCCCTTTAAAATGTGTTCTTAGTAATATGACCCAGTGAATCTCGTTTACATCATAATAGCCAGGGCTTGCCATGTAACCACCTCCCACCTACAAGGGAAGCTAGGAAACTTTTTAAAGCTAAGCACATTAGGGGTGCCTGGGTGGCTTAATCAGTTAAGCATCTGACTCTTTTTTTTATATATTTTATTGAGAGAGAAAGTGTGCAAGCAGAGGGAAGGGCAGAAAGGGAGGGAGAGAGAGAATCTCAAGCAGACTCACTGCTGAGCGCAGAGCATGATGCAAGGCTTGATCCCACAACCCTCAGATCATAACCTGAGCCGAAATCAAGAGCCAGATGCTCAACCAACTGAGCCACCCAGGCGCTCCAAGCATCTAACTCTTGATCTCAGTTCAGGTCTTGATCTCAGGGTCATGAGTTCAGGCCCCTGTTGGGCTCCACACTGGATGTGGAGCCTACTTGACAAAAAAAAAAAATAATAATAATAATAAGCACATTAATGCCACAAGTAAAATCAGAGTTGCTTTAATAAGAAACAAGAAGACAGATATGTGATGGACAGCTAACAGTTTGGTATGCAACCCTGGCAGTAGATTCTGCGTACAGTATATGGAGGTATCTAAAAACCAGCCATAAACGACCCTAAATCCTTGAGCCCTGATGGTTTTCTCTCATCTGTTGTTTTGAACCACCTCTGTTCCATCCACCACTCACTATTGCCCAGACCAGGCTCTCACTAGGTCTCAGCTGATCTTCCTCACTGGTCCCTCTGACACCAGCATCACCTCTCTTGAATCTGTTTTCCACACAGCTGCCGCAGTGAACTATCTACAAAGTCAAGTCCAGCTGCTTCACCTCTAATGGAGACTGAGTCCTTGCTCAGAGTTCTTCACAGCCTGCCGGTATGATTCAGACCACTCTCTGCATGTGACTTTGCAGTAGGTCCCACGGAGGAGGCAGAATATATCTTCCCTCCCCAGGGATATTGTGCTTGGCTGTGGGCTGGTGTTGCTAATGGAATGTGGGTGTACCTGAGGTGGATCCCTTCTCTTTGTCCCCTCACCGTCCTGTACTTCC